GCCCAATGCTCTATATATACACATGAACAAATATCCTTTTGAGTGATGAGTGCATAAGCTCTGCTAGAGTTTCCAGCACATGAAAGACTTAAAAATGGACTCATCTAAGTTTTTATGGTATGCTGTGTAACCAGGAAAGTGGGGTTGGAGAGTCAGGCAAGGCACCTGGAAATGCAAAGGTCTCCCAGTAATCTTTATTATGTTGAATGTCTCCCTTTCTTGGCTCCCATTTACCAATTGGAAAATGAGGATAACACCAAGGTCCAATGGACAGTGTCTGCTTTATTTGTTCTATACTGTGTATAGGTTAGCTTTCTTTTAAAAAGACATAATTGGCTCAATTGCAGCCCTTGTGAGAGGAAGATGAGACCTTCTATCCTTTATATCTATGCAGTGGTGTCAAGGAGGAGGTGATTTCACAGAAGAGTTAGGGTATGGCAGACAGGGAGGAGCAACCACTTGGTAAGAGAGGCCTCCAGCCCAGTGTACGGGTTGGGAGATAGCAAAGATAATCAAGAAGCAGACTCACAATCAAGTGGGTTTGGGATGGGAAGAAGAAACTTCATAGGGACCAGAAGGGACTATGCATGGCTTGCTGTGGTCCTAAATACTGACTGACTTGAATGAAACTAAGCTAGAAGGCATCCTTGTAAGGATGCAGTGGGCAGGGTAAAACTGATTTATGTTATCCATTTCGTGATATAGTGTTTGACCTAATCAGTCCAGTTTACATTGCTTTGAAAAGTTAAGGATTCTAATTTGTATTTAATAAAATCCAGTTGTTTTATGTTAAAAAGCCTTTCTTATCTCTTCTGAGCAGCTCTGGATAAGGGAGGTTTACCTGCAAAATTGGGATCTCGTAACACAAGGATGCTCTTTCTTTGCAAGATGATTTGGGGTAGTTGGAGTGAAAAAGTGCCACAAAAGAGTGAAATCATAGTTACTGAGTTGCCAAATACTCAGGTCCAGAAGCTCATTTTCTGCATTCCTGCAACTTCTCCTTGATGATGGGAGCCTTACTGAATTCTGCAGAGATTGTAACAACTTAGTCCTTGAAGATACGCTGTTCTCTGCTGATACTGAGCACAAGCAAAAGCAATGAAGATTCTGTTTGTCTTGGCAGAAGTGGGAGCATCTCCGGTCAGTTAAACCATTAAAATTATCTTTTGTTCTTTGATCCCTTTTTGCTCCCATCTGTCCCTTTGTTATATCATTTCTGATGCTGAAGTGATGGCTCTTTGGAGACAGGGCGACCTCTGCTTCTGTGTGGGCAGATCACTGCGTGGTGCTGCTATGGAATGGTTTCCATCAACTCCAGGTCCTGGTAGGGTGTATAATTCTCCTTCAGTGGAGAGGCCACTTTCCAGGCTTTACCCAAAAGAAAATGTGCTAAATATCGTTTTATTTCTTTTGATCCCTTTTTCCATAGATAGTGCATGTCAAATTTAACTTGAATAGTCCCAGTGAGATCCAGTTTATTAGCTCTAATAATTTATGTCTTACATACATAACCCTTCATTCTTGCCTATTCCTGCAGAAGTAACTATACTAAATTCCCAAAATATAGTCTGAACATACACAAACATCAAGATCCCAGTAACCAGAATATGTTGTTTAAGTCAGTGAGAATTCAGGAAGTACCTTAGCACCGAAAGTCAGCTATTAACTGTAAGTAATAATATTAATTCTTATTAATTATGTCTATAGAATTATGTTGGACTTTTTCCATTTTTTAATGTTTTAGGTAATGCTCCATGACACTTTGACCAACATTTAGAAAAATAACCTGTATGTCTTTTTCTCAGAGCGAATAAATTAATTTTTATGGATGGAAGTGGAGGGTAGAACTTGTAGAACTAGTTGCAATGGAAATAGCCTTTCAAAACATTGGAAAAGTTAGACACTTGCAATAGCATGTGGTCTAATTTCCTGAACCTGTGAGAAAGGACATGAATTATTATATGGCTTCCTGCTGAACATATGCTTGCTTCCTCATGTATGTAGAAGGCAAGGGTGGAATACGTGCATGAGTCAGGTCCAGTATTTCTCATTCTGTCTTTTACAAGTTGAAAACCAAAGCAGACATTGTGAATGACAAAAAGGCATGCCAAGAAGTGAGCCAGACCAACTTAATGTAGCCTAGATGCTTCTAAAGTGCACTGGACAAGAAGAAATGCGACTTTTGTTAACAGATACCTTTCTAATTTGTCAGTAGCTTTTATTGTGTTTTTAAAAAATCTTGTTAGAAGTTTTGGAGCTATATTCTTTTCCAAAATGGTCAATATTGTAATTTTGTGTAAGAACCATACTCATCCCCTGCTCCTCTGGCATGGCAGTCTTTTCTCTAGTATTCCTGCACTCTTTTCACAACATTTCCAAATAAGTTTACTAAAAAGCTTGAAGTAGGGATGGAGAAAAAGAAAGTGCAGTGGGGTTTTTTGGAATGTTTTCGGGTTGGTTTGTTTGTTTTTTCTTCTTTGGTTTTGGTTTTCAGGGTTTTGTTTGTAGGTTTGTGGGGTTTTTTTTAAGAAATAAACTTATCCCTGGGTTTAAAACTTGGAACCTTGGCTCCTTTGAGGCAGCATCAAGGTGGGATCCTGCAAACATAGGTTTGGTTTGGTTACGTCTAGGGAATGTAGCACATTCACAATTTGGTTACATCTAGGGAATGTAGCGCATTCACAGTTCATATTCAATTTACTGCCTTTATGTGAAAGGATTCTGGATTTCAGAGCCTGATGGTGGGGTGACATTGAATACAAGATTGTGTAGCATTTTATAGAACTTTTCTTTTATTACCAGCTCTATAATCACATTAAGTTAGACTGAAAATTTGAACTAATTCTTTCCCTTGAGGCACAGGCTCTAATAATGGTAAAAATCTGTGAAATAGGATAAATACAATTCAATAATTATATTGATAAATAAAATGAAAATCAACTAATTGTGTCATTCAGTCAGTTGCCTGCCTCCGTTGTTGCTGCCTTTCTGCATCAGCGGCTGCTAAACTTTTTCTGTCACACTTCAATAAATTTAATTGTGCAGAATAAATGAGCTAATTTTTGAAGTCACAGGCTCTGTTTGGAAGATAAGGATGGTGATTTATTGACCTCCTCTAACTGTGTAAGAGTGTCACCCTCCTTTTTACTGACAACCGTAAGAAGGGTTTTTGTCCCTCTTCACCCAGCGCCTTGCTAAATCCTGCTTTGTATATTTACCTTCCCATCTCATTTTCTTGAAGTCACATAATACACCACAATAGACCAAAGATCCCTGCTGCAGTTGGTGGCTATACAGACAATTCCAAGTGATTAGCAGAGCTGTGGCATTTTTGTCTCTGATGCTGTTTTTTTCTGATGATCATTTAATTCTCTGGATTTTGGAAGGATGGCTGCTAAGGGGAAGTACAAGTGAAGGGGTACAGGGGTATACCTGTTTTTTTCTGGAAGCTCTGGTCTAATCTCATTCATGAATCATGATCTCATACACCCTGCCAGCATGCACGCTTACTTCAGTGCTCATTCCCATTGATATTTGACCATGAACCCAGGAAAAAGGCAGATATTAGGCATTGGACATGCCTCATGAAAAAATTGCCTGCTTTTTAAACTTTTGTTTCTGTCTCTTGGTTTTTGTGTTTAGATGCTGAGAAGACAAGGAGAAGATACTGACTATCTTGTCTTTTCATTACTGCTGCAATTTTGACAGCAATGGTTAAACTTAAATGGAATAATGGACATAAAATGGTAGGGGTGAACAGTCTGCACCCTTTCTTACCCACCTTTTTATTTACTTTGATTGTGAGTCGGGGTTTTTTTAGCAAAACATCTACATGACAGCCACAACTACCCTTTTTCATAAGGCTGGATCTTTTGATCTATTCTTTAAAGCCGTAAACCAACATATATGCATCTGAAAAGGGATTATTAGATACTGTGCTATAACTCTAACGTCTCTGTTATAGCAGACAAATCAGTTGTCATGCTGTAGCAATATGATCCCTGAATCAAAAATCTTGGTATTCTGTTGAGTCAATAAAAGTCTTTATAGAAAAATAAAATCAGCGTCAGCACATCAGCTATGTCAAAAAGTGGGTCTCAAAGTTCTGCCTTCCTGCCTCTGGCAAACAAATCCAGTAAATGAGAAGGATGTGAACACCTTCTTTGTATTACTAAATGGCTGCCTGCTGAGGTGCATAGGGCTGTGCAAACCAAACAGTTTTCCATCTCAGTGTACGCTATGTTTGTTCTTCACAGTGACATTGAACCTACTCTTCCTTGACTATGATGCCAGGCAACATAGCAAGTCAAATATATATGAAAGCTAGCTAGGCTTTGACAAACTTGGCCTCCTAGAAGTGCATGGCAAAAGGCTTTTTATGGAGCCAGGATTTCAGCTGGGCACCTAGAACACAAACTGTGAGAAACCTTTTTCTCATGTTTTAGTTGTTATATTGGACCTGTTTCTGCTGTAGTTTTCTTCTAAGGAAGACTTATAACCCTCTAAATATTTCCCGTCAGGTGTTGGCTAGGTGAAATGCATCCTAGGGAATTGAGCTGGAGGAATCACAACATCCCACATACAGAGCAGTCCAAATTTCTGCCAAACTCTTCACTATGTCTTTAACTCAAACCGCTTGCACTCTTCGTGATTGATGCTTGTAGCAAAAGGCAGACCTAACCCAGGAAAGCCTTCTGCATCACGGCTCTGTCTTCTTTCAAACAAAAACTTAAGTCCAATTTAACAGCCTGCCCTGGGAGACCCACGCGAACCTAATGCAGGCAGCCTTTGCATGAGATGATAACTGCTGTTCCTCCACGTTTTCATTGTGTGGTTGGTGTTTGTGTGTTGGTTGCTGTGGGTCACTTAATTTAGACTATCTAAGGAACCTCTCAACGTGCACCCAAGCAATTACATTGATTTTGGGGGGAGTATGAAAGTAAATTAAACCTGAACAAAATTTACTCTTTGGTGAAAAAATCTTTGCCAGCTTTAACGGGATAAAATTCCACCAGCATGTAACATTTTATTGGACAGTAATGAAATACTTTGGAGAAGGATTTCCAGTTCATATAACACATTCAAAACGTCGATTCACCTTATGTTTTGTGAGCCATTATCATTAATTCTCTTTGCAAACCAAGTTCCAGTTGTTCTGCAGATTACTTGCACCAAGAATAAGAAGATAAAGTTTGTACTGAAGAGCTGAACCTTGTGGGATGTACAGGAGACTCCTGAAAATGCTAAGTCTGATTCAGACCGACATTTCTACAACCATGACTTCCACTGAAGGAGGACTGTGTACTTCCCTCTGAAAGAGGAAGTCAGCAAACTCTTACAATAAAATTAACGCTCAGTTTCCAGTTCAGATTAAATTGTGAGTAGAAAAGTAGAACATATTTTCTAATTAATCCGAATTGAACACATTCATCATGCTCTGTAAATCATAATGCAATTCTGCCCTTTATGCATTATCATTGGTGCTCTGCTGATATGGGTGTGACTAAGAGTTGCTGGTCTGATCCGGCAGCGACCTGGCAAAATGCCACCAGCTTGTCACTCCAGGTCTGATTTACAGACCAGCTGAAGGGCACAAGCTTTGGTGAAATTTGCAATCTGTGGATGAAAGAAAAGTTAGGCAAATAAGGGCTCTTTGTGAAAGAAAGCCTATCTTCCCTGTTGCTGAATGGAGAAGCTGAACTGCCCAGGTGCAGAGATACATGAGAACTGAGTATAGAGATGAGACTTCATACTTCCTGGTGGAATTTAGGTGTCTTCCTAAACTACAAGGCTTTTGGTTCCTTCTGCTGAGGAAATGGAAGCTGGCCCTATTACGGGACAATGCATGACTAAAGCAAGATTGAGATTTTAGATGGTTCTTTGATGTTTGAAAACTAAGGGGGCAATAACAAAACCATCCAACTATGTAAAAATGGGGAGCTTGAGGGCGACTAAAGCCCAAGTGAAAACAAATGGAAAACAGTGTCTGGAGACAGGAGCTATTCTCTGTCCATGGCTTGCTTGACTTCCTTGTATTGCCAGACCTCTTCCAGTCCTCAGGAGAGACCTAATATGATTAGATCTGAGCATCTTCTGCTTCACAAAACATGCTTACTGCAAGACACTTGTTTCCAGTTGGGATTTTTTTTTTTGTGTTGTAGTTTTCAGACTGCCTTGGAATATTTTATATAACATCAGCCACTTTGCAGATTTGTGTATTGTACTGTAATTACTTAAATAGGGGATTTTGTATGCTACAGCCAGTGATTCATGAACTGCAGGGTATCTGCAAAAACAGACTTTCATTGGGATTATGGGATGTAAAATGCCTGAAGGTTTTTGCTTTTGATAGCGGACCTGCCATTGCATCCACACAGGGTTTGTCTAATAAATTGTATTAGTGCTTTCCAGCATCCTGATAACTTCCCTCCCCCAACTCCTTGCTATTCTGAAGTGTTTTGAAAGAAAACTGGTTCTCTGTGAATTATTGCTGTAGCAATCATTAAAGCCTATGTTTGGCATGCTTGTTGTTGACCATGCAGTATAACAGAGAAGAAAGTTGAAAAGGTTCTTCCGGAAGGACTTAATATTTGCAATTATGTGATTTCTAACTAGAAATAAGGGAGTTGTGGAGGGTGGGGGAAAATACAATAGTTAGGTGTTTTGAGGGGAGTATGAGGGGATGTAGTCAGTTGTCTTCCATCAGCTTAGGGTAATGCATCTAAACTCCCTATCTGCTTTTGAAATAGTCTCAATCACTGAAGAAAATGGAGCCTACTGTTTGCTTTAAGGCATTGTCTAACTCAACATGTCAAACTATTTCAGGCCCACGAGAAGGAGGAGGACATGCTGATGACGTGTTCATGCCTGTGTATCCAATCAACGTGTTGGACTAGGAATGTTTGCAGACACAGGTAAGTCTAAAACTTTTTCCTTCTGTGAGATCCAGCAGGAACTGTGCAAGAGGAATCATAAATATATGATAGTGGCTTGCTGCCTTTAAAAAAAAGCCTAATTTATCCAGGAGATAGCAGGTTTCTGGTACAATTTCCTTGCTGACTGTTCTGTTAGCCCATTTCTAAATGTCTGCAAGTTTTGTGCCGTAAAAACAGAAACAGAGTCGTTTTGTAGTTGCTTGTGAGTTTTAATTATAGTAGGCTATTTCAGACAGGCCAATGCTTGTTTTTACGTTGGGATCCACATGGCTGCATTTTCTTTCCAGGGGTTGGGAAAGATAATTTTCTTAGTCATGCTTCTCTCAGATCTAGAGCTGTGCAGATAAAAGCAAAACCAAAAAAACCCTTACTCCTACTAACTCCCTTCCTTCTGAAGTCATCACAGCTCAGGTAAGGAAGCTCAGTAGATAGCAAGTGCAAGTCAGGGTAAGTAAAATTACAGTGTATGTTTGATTTCCGTGAGATTCTTCACTGACTTTTATTCCCATGGATAAGGGTCATGTCAGCCATTAGCAGCACAAAAATCCAAGGCCTCCCCATCTCCACCCTTGTTTGCTTTTGGCTGTGCCTAGTTTCGAGCTGCCTAGTGTGCAGCACGTTGCTTGCTATTTTAAAAACCCACTAGAAGTATGAGGGCAGCAAGCAGTGTATAGCTGTGTATATGCTGTGTGTATACAGACAGAGCTGTACGTTCTTGGCTGAGGTCCTCTGTTGAACTGAGGTTCTGTGGGGTTAGATGCTTTGTAATGCTTTGGGTTTGTTTTTAAAGCCCTGCGTGCTTTGGCTCTTGCTATTCTCGGCTCTGTTTTGCAGTGCTCAGCCATGCAAAGTGATGCTCCCAAACAGGGCATTGGAGCAGACTCAGCCCAGCAAAGCTGCAGGTAGAGCAGAACTCGTTGCCACTGTTTTCCATATGTTCCTCTCTATGGGGGCCTGACTGGACCTCGACCTGAGGAGGAAGCAGGACAGAAACTTAACGGAGAAGCGAGTCCTGCCCCCAGGTATATGAAGCAGCCAAACTCTATCATTCTCGTTATCTCTGTTTTTAGCATGTTTCTGTCCTGGGGGTGGTGTGTGTGTACTAGAGGCAGCACTTTCAGCCCTCACCCTGCCTAAGTCCACAAAAACATCTCCTAGTGCTCAGCCGTAATTTGCAGCCCTTCAAAAGAACCTTCTCCTATTTACTCTTCTTTTTATTTTTTCTTTCTTTTAGTTTTAAGCTAGTTCACATTGATTAATCATTTTAGAAATGTTTAGGGCTGGGATTGTGAAACCTTTGCTGGCAAGAATTTTTCCCCTGGAGTCAAGGAGACTACTCATTAGCATGACTACTTGCCAGCGTGAGGGAGGGATTCACAATCTGGACGTTTGTAGTTTTAAAAATATGTATCTATTTAGCTGATTTGAGCAGCTGAACAGGGGCTGGTTATGGAAATCAGACTAACAGGCTGTCACACTCGGGTGTTTTACTTCAGAGTGCATCCATGGTGAAATAATGCATTTTTACGTAACACACACATTTAAACAGCGTTTCAGTTGTCTGATTAGTGCCTTCAGTCTTACTTACAGGTGTGATACGCTTTCAGCACAAACCAAACCAAACCCTTTGCTGTTAAATCCCCTCTGAGCTTACGCACAGTGTAAAGATGCACGTGGGTCAGTACTGGCAGGAAAGCCACGATGGGCCAATTGTGCACATCTCTCGGAAGGGGCACCTGGTTTTGAGCCCCCTGGGTGGAAGGGGTAGAGGGTGAGGAGATGGGTAAGGTGGTGTCTGCAGGACGTGAAGGTGGCACGGCTGCGCCTCTTGTTCCTGCTTGCAAGAAACAAAACTCTGAGGAAAGAAGTCTGGCTCTCTGACAGAAAACCCTGTGTTTTATATTACACCGGTTCCCTACAGTGAGTCAGTCACTCCCCTCCTGGTTGTTTTTTTTTATTATTATTTTTTTTTCCCGAGGACAAGTGAAGCAGTTCTGCCTCTGCTCTGCATGGCTAACAGCAGCAGTGACCTTCAGGCTTGCCGCTTAAAAGCGGTGTGGGATCATCCCAGTGAAAATTCAAAACAATGGTATCTTTGCCTTGCCCCCCACATCCTCTGCCCCCCTCCACTGGGTGGGCTCCTCTGTGGGTGGCAGAGCCATCCAGCCTGGGTGCTGGGCTGCTGGAGCACAAGGAGTTCCCTCTTCTGTCTGCATCTCCCTCCACCTTGCACAGAGCTGACAGGGGGATTTTTCACCTCCTCACTTTCCTTTTTCCTCTTTGATTAACTTTGGACCAGATGGCCAGTCCCCAATCTCTCAGCATGCATTTGACTGACAGGAGCCTTTGATAAACCTCATAAGAATGAAGTCATCTTCAGGTCACCTCCTCTGCCTGGCCTTTAGCATCCTGCACATACCACCATTATCTGCTGAATAGGAGACAAAGGAAATTAGCTCCAATTCCCTATCATCCCCATTATTTCCACACTGATTTAAACAATGAGGCAATGAGATGCCCTTCACTTTCCTTAGAAAGGTACAAATGTCAGCTGTTAAGAAATGCAAACAAGAGGGTTCCCATGTTAATGGATGGGCTTCTTTGTAAAGCCATGAAGTGGTAAAGTGGATTTATTCACCGTCTGCCTGGAAAATGCTTAACACACTTCTAAACAAATTCTTTAACCACTTTTATTTTATACACAGTGCAGAGTGCTTGAGAAGCCTAATTGTTTTGGTCTGGATATAGATAATGAGGTGATATACCACTCTGTTGTTTTTCCCATATGCAGTTATCTGAGCTTCGTTTGAGGCAGTCCTGAACTGAAAGCTTGGAATTCAAATTCCATGGTATACAAAAAGGTTTAGCTGTGTATTATGAATCCAAGTACTGAGATGTAGGAAACTACCTCCAGTTTCCAGTGAGGAAAGAAATTTGGATACCGTGGACAGAGGACACGAGAGTGTGGATCAGAACAGAATCTCTCCAGAGATTTTTAAGTAGTTACCTCACATCCACTTGGCTATTAACCTTTTATCTGAGAAAAGCAATAATACACCATAAGAAGTGTTTCTCCAGGGGTATTTTAAGGCAGGCATGCTAGAAAATATCTTTAAAAATATTTATTTTGATAAGATTTCTTTCCCAAGATCGTGGTCTTCCACTTGATTTGACTTGACTGGCAGTTAATTCTGTTTTTTTGGCAACTGAAAGTATCTGAATGTTTGGGCACTTGCATAAAACCATTCTCCAGATCACTGGCACACCCACATACATTTCAGGAGATCAAAACAGCAATGATCTCCAAATAAACTCTTAGGAAAACTGGTCTGTAAACTGTGCTTTACGTTAAAATATAACTTTGCTTTTCTTCTTTGCTTAGTAGTCTCTCCCTACTATAGCAGTCAGGATCACTACGGAGTCATCTCCTGACGTACAGTTGAAAAGCACCACACAAGAATGTGTCTGTTTATTCCACTGAGCAAGGATCATGCTGAGAGGTAGAAACTGTGAGCTGTATTCACGTTGCCTGCTATGGAACATGGGAGCAATGACAGCGCGTCAGGTCAAGAGACTGGTGAGCAATTCTGACCCCCTGTTATGCCACGTTGCTAAACCTCGGCTTCCTGTGCAGCCAGTGGGGGGAAAAAAGTCATCTTGGTGCCCAAGTTAGACACGTAGAGAAGTCAGTCCTGCCTGCTTGGTGCATTGTGACTGCTGCTCACAAAAGGTGGGAGTCTGAATCCCTCCTTGCCTATTGATCTGAGATGCAGTTGCAGCAGGGGTTTCTGAATTAGGCTCTTAACACTGGGCAGCCTGAACGTGGCACTGAAAGTGGTGGTCTGTGAAGGCCCTTCTGTTGTTTTAGAGTCCTAGGTAGTGTTTGCCACATACCTTTAGCCGCTGATAAAGGCTGGTCTTTTTCTTTACAGTGTTATCACAGATACTTGCACTTCACCAGTGGCAGAGAGAATTCTGACGGTGATCTAGGCTGACCTATGCTTCTGGGCACTTCTAGACTCCACCATGAACTTTGTGTCTAGAGATGGTGGCAGAACTGGAGCATAAGAGGACACCTACATTTTAAATAAAGACCCCGGCCCTATGAATTCAAATATACTCTTGCTCTGCTGGAGGAGGAGGTTAATGTGGAAGTCAGGTAGCACCTTTCTTTTTTTGCATTGGGAGAGTCTTTTTTATGGCTTCCCTTTCTAATATGAGAAGATCCATATTGTAGCACTGCAGTAAAGGATTCCCATTCAAAACTGGGCATATAAACTTGACAGAAGTCTGCTATTTGAGAGACAACTTGAGACAAGTAAGTTAAGCCTAATAAATGAAAGTATTCATTTTTCAACCATTCCTGCAAAAATCAAAAGAAACGTTTTGCTGCTTTCGTCTTTCCAGCTGAAAAGTGTCCAGCGTGGCCTGCACCAGTAGAGGACCCCAACCACTTCGCAATTATATCTTGTTCTTCTTTCTTCTATATTGCATCTTATCATGGTGAATCTTCAATCACCACAATTTTGTTGGTGCTGACACTCAAAAGATGGTCTTCTGACAGCTCTGGAGAACCTGTAATTCATCTTACTTTTTGAACTATTTGACTACCTAACACAAAAGGCCAGATCCTTGCTTCCATTTATCAAGTATCCTCTTTTCTATCCTGGTGTTTCTGTCTTGATAATGACTGACTTTGTCACCAAGCTGCCTTTTTTCTGACTTCCTTGGCATCCAGCCGATGAACTGACTGAAGGTGGTCCCTAGGCTTAGTAGCCAGAACGTGGTCTAGGTTTGGAATTTACAGGAACAGAAGGCTTCTGCCGCTATGATCAGGGTAGTATTTTTAAGACATCTGAAGGCACCTTTGCACTGGGATGCTCAACACATTTCCATGCATCCTGCTGCATGCTTTCTGATCAAAATCTGGAGGAGGAATTGACCTTCTGGCAATGGTTATGAGTTTGGCAGCCACAAAGCTTCTTTTAAAGACCCTGCTGTGTCAGGGTACAGATCAAGGTGCACAAACATTCCCCTGAAGAGCTTATTTTCCTTAGATAGGGAAGACTGAGTTGTATGGAGCTAACTTGTGGCAGGGATCAAAAGCTGTCTGCAGTGCTAGGTATTTTTTTAAGCACAATTCTCTCCCACAATTTTTTTTTTCATATACAGCCTCTAACTACTTGAGGTCTCTGCACATAAATGTACACACCAAAAAGATGGACAGATATACTGGCACCAACACAGCTTGGCTGAGGTCACTCTAGGTACTCAAGTCAGTCTGAAGAAGCAAGAACATGGCAAAAACTCTAATATCAAGGTTTGGATTATTTTTTTTAAGCAGAAGTATCAGCTATCTGCAATTCAAAGCGAGAGGTTGAGGGTGGGGGGCTTATGCTTCCCATTTTGCTTTTAAGAAGGTCACAGTGAAAGCTTGTGATTGAATATTTTGCATGGAACTGCCTATGACAAAGACAAAGACGAAGGGTTTGTCAGAGTACTATGAAAAGAGAGTGAGAGAAAGAGAGAGAAAGATCAGTGTTAGATTTTTAAGGTATATTTGAAAGAATGAAATAAAAAAATGCTTTCAAATCCTCAGGGACTTTCCAATTTATCAAGAAAGACACATTCTTCCTAATGAAAGGTTACTGACCTTCATGAATGTGACAGTTCAATTACAGCCCATTCATATGCAGAGCAGCCGTTGATAAAGGATTTAGGAAATGTGACTAGCATAGCAAAAAAAAAAAGAGGGGGGGAATGTCTAGAAAATTATTTTTTGTTGTGGAGCAAGAAATATAAATAAGATTCAGTCAGGTAGTAGAACCTTTTCTTCTCTGGCCCAGCAACCCATTAGATTTGCTTCAGTGAATACATTGACTTTTCCCTCTTTTTTTCCTACTAATATTTCTGTCTTTTTAATCCTCTGAACTACTAAACCTAACAAATCATAAAGCCCTTGGGGTGCTGAGATGCAGGGTTTCAAACATTTTTTCCCTCTGACTGGCAGAGAAAGCTGGAATGTGTCCTAATGTTATTTTAAGTGCTTGACTAGTATTTAAACTCTTAAATGGATGGAAAGTTAAAGCAGCAGCAAATGCACATGCACATACATGTACCCCCCCTTCCTTTTCCTTCCACCTTCTACTCCCCCTTCTTCCCCCCACACACTGAGCTTGGCCTCTCCAAGGCTGTTAATAGCCAAAGCAGATATTGGCTAGACTCTCTGGAGCCAGCCTTCAGCCAATGGAGGGTGACACCTGTGAGCTGATGTTTGTTGAACTCCTCCAGGTGTAGGAAAGATGCTTAAATTGACATAAGGCAGGAGCTGTAAAAACAGGCAAGCGTGTCACTCATACGTACAGCTCCCTGGAAGGTCCCAAGGCCAAGTTGTTGGGAAACAACTAGAAAGAAAGAAAAGACATTTCACTTGCTTTGAAATAATTCCAGATTGTCTGTTTGTCTATCTGTGCGCACACGCACGCTGATGGATCTGGGCCTATTCACGCTGTGTGCACATGAAGTGTGCATAGAAAATAACATGATGCATATGTGTCCCTACATACACACGTACAAACCTGCCGTGTATTTTAAGGTGATAGCAGCCTGAGCAGTTGTGGAGTTAGATGAGGACAATCCTTTGCTTAGCGTAAGCTCTCACAGGTGGTCCCAGATGGAGCAGCTGCGGTGGAAGCTTAGTGCTCACCTATATTTATGTTAGGTCATGATTATATGGAAGGTGTTGTCTTCCACAGGGCAGCAAACACATTCTTGACTTTAAGCAAGTGCTCAAATCCAAGTGCAGTCAGATGGGTGTGAAGAAGTGCTAAAACTGTCTGCAGAAGTCAGAGCCAAAAGACATTTCCTTGACCTCCACTCGGTATCTGTGAAATGGCATGCATGTTTCTGAGAAATGAGAAGCTGGGTTAATTGGTGCTACCTCCGCCCAGATACAGGGCTGAAATGTTCCACACCATCCAGGCTAGGAAGAACTGCAGGAATTGAGGCTCTGAGACCTCTGTTCTTACTAGTGGAACAACTGCAGGGAGAAAAGGCCAGTGCAGAATGTTTTCTGCTTCTATTAGGGCTGATTATGGTTTCTGGGAAACCAGAACCACTCTCATTACTTCAAGCTGCTGCACTAGATGTCTGTCTTCCCTGTCTAGTACCTTCTCTGAGTAAATTTCAAGACCTATCCCTACTGGGTATTTTGAGCACCTTGCTTACTGGCTGCTGAAATTTGTATACATTCTCGGGACAGTCCTGAGGAGCCTGTTCTTGAGGTCATGAGGTTTTTCATCAGTAATCACCCATTGGTACGTACTGCTTTGCAGACTGTGTTGGCTCCTTTGGGTTTAGGTGATCATTGTAGAGGAAAGAACACTTCCTTGCCCTTAGTCTAATTTTAGATCAAGGGCTGGCATGGAATCGGTTTTGGCAGCATCGAGTGATAATGTCTCATAGTGATGTATACAAATAAAGTAATCAATCTGTCTTTATTGGTTCTGTCAGATGACAGGTACTGAATTATGGAAATCATGGTAGAAATTACTGGGTTCCCTTTGGAATGGTCACATTCTCATTTAGCTTTTAAGCAAAAGTTCATCTGATCAAAGGGCTTTTTAAGGCAGAATGCTTTGTTCTCCCTTTTGTTCAGCACATACCTGAGACTTTCAGGAGGGTGTTAGGTGGCCCCAAGAGAAATGAATCCACTACATTCCCACAAGATCTGTTTTGAAGAAATCTGTTGAGGCAGTGCAGCAAGCAACCCAGAGTCTGCTTTGGACGCCCTGAAATTTTTTATATGCTTCTTGCTTTTCCTGGTAATATGCTGCCCACACTAGAATATGCTGCCCAGTACTAGAAGCTCTGGGCAGGCTCTAACAGGCAGATGACCATCTCCCTTGTCATAGCTTTTAGCTGTCTCATAGTGTGACAAGATTAGAATCAAGGCCCTTTGAGCACTGGAGAAGAGCTTCCTGGTAGCATGCTCACCACTTGCTTTTAATGTTGAAAAGAAAAACAAGATAAAGGGATTGAAAATGTTGACATTTTTAAGTCCAGAAAACCTTTTTGGAGTCTGTCTGTGCAGTTAGATTGATTGTAGGTAGGATCCCAATCCAGCATTATTTTATCTGAACCAAGGACTGAATCAATTATAGTTAACATGGAGAGCATACAAGAACCAATCCAAGTACATTCTATAAAATTCCCTATGTCATTCCTCAAATATTTTTTCTGCAACCTGCTGTAGTCTATTTGGGCTATGATATGATATAAAGGGTTTACTGGAATTCATCTGGGATAACACTTCAGCAATGTTTTGTCTTTGTCTCTTCTAGATAATGCACGCCATCTAGGTTTTTTTTTTTTTTTTTTCCCTGTAAGATCCACAAAACAAGACTATAAAACATTTGGTACAGAAAATCTTTACTGTCTTTTGAAATTCTGCTTACTTTTCACCACTAGTAAAATGTATTTATGGACAATTTGATCAACTCTAATTTTTAGATAGCTTCATTTTCATGACAGGCTTTAATAGTCAAATTCAATTAGAAGCCGTCTTCACTGAATGCAAAATAATAATAAGAATTATCGGTACGAGCATCATGAGAACGTTTCAGATCGCATTTGCTTTGGTTAAAAACACAGCCTTTGCTTTCTGCTTGCGTTTAATTGGCAGGGTTCCTCTAAAGTTTACTCTTGGCCCTGAGACTTGAGAGTGCAGTCAGGCATGCGGCGGAGAGCAGCCCTAATAGGCAGGCTGCATAACCCCACCAGCTAAAGCTCACGGGCTACGCGGGGGCTTGTTCACCAGGGGAAAACCACAGTCCGCTGCCGCTCAAGCTAGCATGAACTCCACACGCTGCATGCCTTGCTGACTGATTAAAAATGTAGTCATCCTTAAAGGCAAATCACCTAAGGACTTGCAATAAGTCACAAAATACAAAGATGGTTTTTTATGCGGCGCGCTTTTACGTAACAGACTCTTTCAGGACGAGGACTTTGTTTGCAGTCAGCGCGAGTTGGTTGGTGAGTCCTGTTAGCTTGCTGGTTGAGGCAGGTTCTCCTGAATCAGTTCATGTGGAAACCAAACTGCACCTGAGCAAACACTGGAAGGTGGGGGAAGGAATTGCTTTCAGGCCGCAGCCACAAAAGTTAGAGTGAGTTATGTGTGTTCCAGTAGGGAAAACTTTTTCTCATTGTTTGATAAGATATGGCAGGAATTAATTTTAGTGGAGCTAGTAAACGTGAATTATTGTATGGCTGGCTCCCTTTAGCTGGATTTAGAGGTGTATCTGGAGGAAAAATATTAATTGGACTCTGTCTCTCAGTTGCTCCCATGTCGAGTCAACTGGTATGAGATGGCATACAGGAAGGCATTTGCATACATATTCTCTAGATACCAAAAAGAGTAAGCAAAGAGACGTATGTGACAGTCCACGTGCTTCTCACCGTAGGCTTAATGGTTTGCAGCTGCATTTTCGGCTCAGCCTGGGGAGCATCAGGAACAGAAGAACAGACCAGTGAGCAACAGCATGTTGTGACCAGCCCAGCAAAATGGCCTCTGAAAGAGTACTCATTCCATTGATGGTCATTCACTGGATTAAACTGTTGACAGATTTCCTTGTGTGAAAGAAAAAAAAAAAGTTCCTTTTCCAAGCAGATGTGATGCACTACCAGTGTGTGCTAGCAGTCCTCTTTTCACTTTAGGCAGAAGATTTTAATATGGGCATAAATTGTTTCAGGTGCTGCTAATTAAACTATGGAGAAGAAGATAAAGGCACAGCAAGTTGTCTGTCTTACTATTATCTGTCTGGCCTAGCATATATTGTACATGTTAGGGTAGAGACCACTCTGTCTAGTGTCTCACAACCTTTTGATAGTAAGAACTGGATCCAGACCGGCAATGTTGGCCCATATCCAGAAAATGTTACAACTATATGTGTATATATCAAACCTGAAGTATTTAAACAGACCCCAACTCTGGCGTATCAAAGTGTCTAGAAAACATGTTTCTTCAAAAGAGCCTTTTCTACTTTGAAAGAAGCAAGAAAAATAGTAACAGGCAAGATATATTACAAAATCTGGGCCTCAGTCCAGGAAAAGCACAAGTTTCCAAGATCCTCACATTTTTACATTATGGCCTATATTGAGGTCAAACATTTTTAAGGTGCAGGTTTTTCTTCTGGGTACTTGAAGAGGAAACAATGTGGGCTCGTTTCCGTTTTGTTTCTTTATGGTGCGTAAAGGAATCCGGTGATATTTGTTTTTTAAAAGGTTGCGGCTTCTTTTTTATTGCTAGGTTCTATTCTTGTCTTGTCTTCTGGTTTGCAGTGAGTCTTGCTGAAGCTCTTAGGGCTGAGAATTGTGGATCCATCCTTGAAGAGGAAGGATACTGAAACTTTAACAGACTTTCTCCAATATGCTTTTTAGCAATCAAAGAAAGCCCATGAAAGCTTGAAACTTCTGAGCCTTTGTTCATTTAAAAGAGGTTTTACTTTCATTGTATCTCATAACCCTACTGGTTTTCCAGTCCTCCAGAGTCTCACTATAGCAATGAGATAAATAAAGCATGAATTGCTGTTGTCTGAAAAGAAGGCACTGGGAAAAATATTTCAAAAATATTAATAAAGGGAAAAAAGCTGAAAAAATATCCTATGCTTTTGTATATGATAGGGATGGCCCTTAAAGATTTTTGTAGGGTAATGAAAAATGCTATCAGTGGGTTCAGCAGCTCATCTCTTCTGACCACAGTGAGGGAGGGTGTAGCCAGGGGATTGCCCCTCTCTAAGTACCATCCCCTTAGAGAGCAAACTGGCATTGGCACGGGTCGGTATCCAAGGCTGCTTTCTGATCCCTCTCTTGGGTTCCCTTGAGGGCAGTGCTGGGGTGACTCCACATCCAGACTGTGTTCAGCCTGCTAGGGCAGTTGGTCCTGCTCTACTGGTTCATACTGGGTAAGAGGTATAGGAGGTATATTATGAATTACTGTTTGCCCTTGGCCTTGCTCTGTAACACTGATGAAAATCCTTTCCACTTGTCCCCCTGCCTGCCACAATTAAACCCATGCACCCATTCTTTTTAATGCTGCATGTGGATACATGCAAATGTCTTTACTAAGATTCCTTGTTTGGGTTTATCTTACTTTCTAGTTGCCTTTCAATGCAAAGGACCACGAGAGATTTCATACTGGGGCACGTACTGACCATTCGGCAGTGCTACTAAGAAAAGACAGGTAAGATATGATGGAGACGCAGCTCTTTCTAGCAAATCAGCTGTGAAGTATAACCCTCATGCTACTTTCATGTTTTTCATGAATCACTGACAAAGTCGGTATTAGTCTTATGAAAGAAGGTAACAGTTTCAAGTGGTTGCTCTATTACACGTTAGTAACGTGTATGTCCATTGCACAGGCTTTGTCTGCTCACAGATAATGTTTGAGTACTTGCATGTATTGACATTCTGACAGATGGAGCCCACATTAGACCTACCATGCATGTGCTGTGCAGATGCCTGCATGTCCATCCTGAGCTGGTCTCTCTGTGGGTTGGCTGTTGGCTCAGTTGGCCTGACGTGGCATGGGAAGTGCTAGGCTGTGCTCCTTGGGGTGTTCAGCATAGCTGGACATCTGTGGCCTTGTGAGAAGCTCTTGTTTGGACCTGTCTGTGGGGCAGCCAGCAAGCCTAGGCAAATGTCCCAGTGCTTCTTTTTGATCAGATTTATGGACAGATAAAAGAGGACATGTTTGGTGAAACTGGACCCTAGAGTGGCCTTAGTAATCTGTCAGTTCTTGGCCTCGTGTCTGCCAGCTTAATTCACGATTTAGGGCGTCTTCTCCTATGCAGTTCTGGAGTGCCAGAGAAGTGTCTGCCTTTGCCCCATGCATCTCCTCTCCTGCAAGGAAGGCCAACAGAAGGGGCAAAGCTAATAGAAAATGGGTTGTCTTATAATCCCCAGTGACTGGAGTAGCCCTGCAACCTTGATAAAGACACCATAATTTATGGTGAAAGCTGAAGTGATGCAGGAGAGTCAGTCTTTATATTTCAGTTCTGGGCACTTTCCAGGGTAAACTGTGCATTTCCACAGAGACCTTGTCATTTCCATGTTGTTTTCTGGCCTGTTCTGGAATTAAGTGGAAGCCACTAATCTCAGTGTCTCATACTGAAAACCCTGGAAAGTCCATGCCTTCTGCTTCTGCCTCCTATAAAAGCTTTCTTCATATACAATGAAAGATAAGGGCTTTATTTTTTCTGCTAGAGAATGTGTGGGTAGGAAAACATCCAATCTGTCAAGCTTTTCATGACTAATAAATATTAACTGCTTCAAGTCTTATAATTATCTCAATTTTTTGAAATCTGTGGCCAACTACTTAAATATTTAACCATCTGCCAAAAAGCACTCTTGGAGGTTTATTCTACAACATACAGGCAGTGTTGTTGAAAATGGAAACTTTTAATATAGCGTCTAGATGAATATGGCATTGATTTTTTTAAGTTGATAAAGTGCGCTAAATTTTGTCAGGGTCTCCACATAATGATACCCCCAGTCTCCTCAAAACATTCCTCCATTTGAACATGCCTGAAGATCAAATCAGCACAGAAAGGTTGAAAAACTCGCTGTGTTAGGATATTGAACAGTTAGTTAACCCGTGTTGAACACAATGGGGATAGCCACAGGATGTGCCCATTGCCCCTTCTGTGTGGTGCAATAACTAAACACAGTTGGATGCATGCAGAACAAGAATAATGATACTCATTTTCAATTCAAGCTTAGCAAAGCAGATGTATACCAGCTGGGCTCCCAACTCCTGGTCTTCTCACTTTCACTTTCTTTTGCATTCTTTGCTTCTCTTGATCTGGCAACGTCTGTAAGACTGATGCCTTGCGGGGAAAAAAGGGAGAGAGAGAGAGTGACTTTGAAATCCCAGGCAGCAAACAGGAACAATCCAGACAGCAGGTGATATTTCAAAGCTTCAGGTCAAGATGAGTCATCAAACCCTGAGGCCTTATATCCCTTCAGATCCCCAGAAGTCTTCTGAATTCCAGAAGCTTACTGACCTCTTTAAAGGTAATAATGAATAATCAATACTATATTTGATCCCTTGCATGAAGGTATTACAACAAATGACACTAGATCTTTTGAAAGGAAGAATAGCATTTTGATCTTACATTGTAAAATTGCCATGCTTAAGAATACCTGCTGGCTCATATGCTTAATTATGTAATGACGTCCAGCTGGACTACAAAGGACTCTTCCAGAAAGCCAGGCTCCTCTGAGAATAAAGTGTCTGATAAGAAATGTTTAGACTCTGAGATCCTCTGACACAAAATGATGTTTCTGAGGAGGATCATTTTTATGGTGTTCTGCTTAGGACAGAGCAACTAAAACAAGCCCATTCTCAATACAAAAGACACTGATTTTTTGGGGAGACGTAGCAGACTTCAGGGGCAGTTTCACCAAGAGATGAAGAAAATAACATTCAGGCTATAGAAGTGACCTATGTAACGTCAAAATTACTTCCCCCCTTTTCCCTTGTTCCTCCTTTCCCACCAATTACACCATCCCTCCATTGTTATGTTCGAATTGTCTTGTGAGACACAAAGGGTGAGTGACATGAGCTTGAGCTGTCCCCTTGCTAGTCAGGGAAAGTAAAAATGTCTTTCAGGTATGGAATAAACTGTGTTGTGTTACAGATGTCTGAGCGCACATGGACTTAGGAAACTGTATTTGCTATCCAGCCAAGGCAAGGAGTCCTCCTGAATTCAGGAAGAAGACCTGGAGAGGTCACCACCTCCTTTCAAGATGTTGGGATAGTATTTAATTTCCCCCCCCCTTTTTTTTTTCTTTTTGGTGAAAGCTCTGAAATGCTCATTTTATAACTTAGGATCCTGGGGTGCCTGCCACATTGGCAAATGTTTCAATCTGAATTACATGTGGGACTTGCGTGTCTTTCTTGTCTTCTGGGTTGGGATATATACGTCTTTATTGGTTTATATAACAGTTGTCTCTTGTCTATAAGGAAGTGAAACATACTGTTTCTTGAGCTTGAGACTGTATCTCCACTAACAGTGCACTAAGGGCGTACTACAACACAATGTCTCTAGTATCGATCCTGACAGGGACGTCACACTATCCCTGTCAGTAGCAAAGTCCATTAGTGGAGCTCTGACTCTGGTTGTGTGTTGTGTTAATGGCTGAAAGCTCTTCATTCTGCTTTGCTTCCCATCATTTTTGGCTTAGAACAAGGATTGAATGATGCTTCGCAAGCCACAACCTCACAGGTTCTGCAGATGAAGAGCCTTGCTTTCATTGTCTTTAATGTGACTAACCATTCTGTGCTCTGCTTATGAGGTACAGCAATTACTTGCAGGTGATTGTCTTTATTTTCTATTTGTTGTGCTGGGTACTGACTAGGTAAAAATGAGAATGTATTGTTATGATTCTTGTAGACATTCCTAAATTCAAATAACAGAGTATTTTAAGATGATCAGAGACTGACTGTTTTCTTAAGTCTTAGGGATGGAAAGGCTGACACCAACTCTGATGGAGTTCTGTTAAATCAGGTTTCAAGCATGCTCTGCTCTTCCAGTCCTACCCCTCCCTTGAGTGAAGTTTGCATCCATATTGCTATTAGAAACAAGTATGTATGTATGGAGGTATTACATGATCAGAAACTATATCACAGGAACAAGTCCTAATTTTGGACCAAAGCTCCTTGGAGTTGGTGGGGATGTGTACAATGACTTCACTGAGTTGCCATTCAGGCACTGTTAGCTTGAACCTATTTGTCCTTTTCAACCCCTGTTCAAAGACAGCTATTGCTATTCTTCAGTGACTGTGCTGTAAACTAAGCTTTACTTTAGCCTTGTTCTTTTCAGTCACTTGATTCCAAAGTTATTCTTTGCCTCGGTACAAACTAGTCAGATCATTTTCTGTGAGTATCCCAGTCCAATGGGATCTTCCAAAAGATTATAAGATTATCTACCTGAAGGACAGTGTGCAAGAAGAAAACATCCTAATCATAGAAACAGAATTAAGACAGAAGAAGGAGGAAATGTGGAAGATATCTAATATCTAAGCCGTAATACTTCCTAATCAAGTGTTAGTTTTCTCCTGTTTCTGAGTATGTTAATTTTTTCTTGCTTTTCAGTAGATTTTCCTATTCACTGTTGGGATTTGTGTATGTTTATGTATATATATGTATGCATGTATTTGTGTGTGTATATACACGTGTCTAGGTATATATAGTGACAGCAGACAGTTTGCTTTAATGTATATTTATAGTAGTTTTTGAGAGCTGAAATGATAAAAGGAGGGAAATGAATATATAAAGGAACAGAGTTTTTAATGGTTCTATAAGGCAACAAAAAAGGAGTTTGTATTGTCTTTCTATTTCATAGAAAAGTCCATGACTGTGCATCTAATAACCTCATGAAAGTTGGGACACCAAAGTGGTGGAATGCATTGACAATGAACACAGCCCTCTTTCGACTGGTGATGGATTTTCTGTAGGTGGTATCAGTAGGCACAGCAGAAATGAGATGCAGTGTATTCCTTCCCTGGAAGACAGCTGCGGCTTCTGACTTCTGTGCCTGGAATTTTTGACTCTCTTTTGCTTGCTTTGGTAGTCTACTGATGCTATCAACTTCTCAAGAGCTTTTGTTTAGGTTTTTTTTCCCCCCTGGCTCTACATTTTCCCTCCCCCTCCCCAAGGCCCACTGTTTCCTTTCATGCATTGGATGAATGTAAATGAGATTTTCTGACTGCCAAGAGCAAACCTACAAATAACCATAAGCAAAGCAAAAGTTCATTTAAAATGTTAAACAAAAGCTCTGGTCTAACCCTAGCTCAGTCATGCCCCCTGGGGTTGTCAGGTTAGTAGCAGCGTGCTAGTTTTCCTGCATGTGGCAATCACAGTGACAGCAGTCTGGTACAGAAACATCCAGAAAGGTTTAAATTACTTGAAATGCTGGTAGCAGTCAAGTTATGGCAACGCCATACTCGGCACATGTTAATTAGCCATACCTTTTCATGCAGGTTTGCTGAGCTCTTGTTGACGTAACTACTGTTGGATCACAAATGGTTTTTTAGTCTAGGTTGGAGTATGTACTTCACAGCAGCCACCATATGACTGCAATTTAGACATAACTTCAAGTGCCATCAGCAGGCTTGCATTGAAAGGGTCTCACTGTTCTTCCGTCTCCCAGGGGAGATCAATGAAAAGGAGGCAAGGTCACATCTTGGCCTGTGACCAGGGAGGATGTACGCTGCAGTCCTCTTCAGGCAAGCTTGCTCATGAAGCCTGTTTAGAACCTCTCTAAGTACAGATTCAAGGACTCAGTTATGATTAAGCCCCTCATCTTCTTTCTATTAAAGGACTTCCACTGACTCAGCGGGCAGCTGGAAGAGTGAAAAGCCAGAGTCTCCAAGCAAATAGTACTTTTCCATGGATGATACCTTTGATTTCAATATTTACATCCTAGATCACTGTTCAACCATTTGAAGGGTCTGACCCAGATGGCTCTACCTGGCTTGAAGGACTCTTTCCTGAGGTATAAGCTTTCCTTTCTCTGTGAATAACTGTCAATGAACATATCAGGCTTTTCTCCCACGTTGCCTTGTCATCTCTCTAAAATCCTGGTTTGGATTTTGCTAAAAAGATTAGAAAACAATGGACTGAAGACAAGATTTTCAGTAAATAAAAATGTGTTTTTTAAGAAAAAGGTTGAAAGAGTTAAAAAAGTAAAACAGAGTCCATTCCAAGCCTTTACATTTTGAAAACATTGATTAAATTAGTTTTCCACTGTTTTACCAGCACTACTTTCAAGCTTCCTTCCCACGCTGTTGTGCAAGTTACTTGCAGAGAACTCAGGGATACAAATCTTCTTTCTCTGACAAATGCTCATGCTGTGAAAGAAGAGGCATTCGGCTGCCCTGGATTGAGCAGGCTGTCAGATATCCCCAGAGAAGTTACCATGAAAAGAAGCTTCTTCAAAACTTTGTTTAAAGTGAGGGCTGTTAATCAAGGCCTTGGTGCTCTCATTAGAGAGGGAAGGAACCATTTAAAGTCAGGAAGCTGCAGTCTATGAAAGTCATGAAATTGAAATGAACGCATCTTTTGCCAGCTGGTTTCACACCCCCAGTTGGCAATCCACAAAGGTTTAGAGGGGGAATTAAATCCATTTTTCAGCAGAAATAACTATTTTTGTGATTATCTTATAGATTCCATGAGCTACACTTCGATCCTATAAAGGCATGCAGGCAGCTGCATGAGAGGTGGAAAGAGAGAGAATGATTGAGATGAAATCACCACCAACAGCTCCTGCAGGCAGAAAGGCAGCATTGGATCCCAGCCACGACACTTCTGCAACCTGGTTTGAATGGGCCTGATGGGATGCCATAATGTAACCTACACTGAACAAGGTATGTGGAAAGCTGTCTGACGTGGGGCTCTATTTCAAAGAAAAAATACAGATTCCTTCCAGGCTTTAATTGCTTTTATTTTACTTGTTTTGCTCTTGGGGCTAAGATTGCCTTCAATAAAATGAGATTAAAAAAGCAGAGTGCAATAACACTCTAAACCAGAGTCAAGTGAGAAGAGCTTGGAGAAGAAAGGGTTTTTCTCGGTGTCAGTCTTTAAATCAGTTGAAAGGCCTGAATGAAAAGGGTGACTGAAGTCTTGCTGTATGGGGGTACAGTTAATTGCTTTTATTTTACTTGTTTTGCTCTTGGGGCTAAGATTGCCTTCAATAAAATGAGATTAAAAAAGCAGAGTGCAATAACACTCTAAACCAGAGTCAAGTGAGAAGAGCTTGGAGAAGAAAGGGTTTTTTCTCAGTGTCAGTCTTTAAATCAGCTGAAAGGCCTGAATGAAAAGGGTGACTGAAGTCTTGTTGTATGGGGGTACAGTTCTGTTCTTATCTGTGGGGTTTTTTCCCCAAAATCACTGGCCTTCTAAGTCCATTAAGTGTTATTAGGGTGGAAGCGATTTTGGTCAGGAGGTTACTGCCTTCCTTCAGAACTGATGACTCGGCTCCCACCTTTATCAGCTCGGGGCACAATCGTACCCTCCAAGCCCAAATGCTGCAACCGAGTTTCCAGCTGCAGAGCAAATCTGTTTTGTGTATCAAAGGTCAGGATCAAGTCCTCAGCTGTGAACTGCAGGAGTATAAATATTTTCTGGCAATCGGACTTCGGTCGTCTGGCGTGTCTTCCTAGCCAACAGTTGTGGTGCCTGCTGTTTCTGATAGCGATTTCCCCATCCCCTTTTGGATTACTGGAAATTCATCCCTGTGCAAAGAGCACATGTATCTCTTGAAGTCCCCATTTATGCCCCGTTGTGATTATTTAAGAAGTGCCTGGGAGCCTTGTAGGGACTCAGCCCTGGGATGAACTAAAGATTAGTTTCTATTTACTGCAAAGTACCAGAAAGCGTCACAGCCAAACATCCCTGGCAGGAAAGCAGAGAACAGCTCACTGAAGCACTCCAGCTACCTCGCCGCTTGGTGTGACTTGAGTGCTCAGAATGGCTCTGGCTGCACACATAGGTGGAAGGTCAGAATATTTCTGCTAGAGAAAAAGGAGAGAGAGAATGAAGAGAAGGAGAGAATGAATTAAGCGACATTCTTGAGCTCTCTTAAAAACTGCACTAATTTAGACAGCAAAAAGCGAGGAAGACTATCCATAAACTCTAGGCATCGGTTTAGGCATTACTAAATACTAGGGAAAAAATTTGTTTTTCTGTCGAGAAGATGTCAGTTCTTGAAGGCTTACTAGCAAGACTCCCTTGTACCACCCCATTCCTTAAAAGATCCCACCTGTGAATATTTGTTCTGTTGTGAAACAGAAATAAAAATGGGCACGTCATGGTTTTAGAGACTGGGTTTAGGGACTTTTTTTTTTTTCTTTACTCTGTCTGGAAGACTCTACTGATTTATCCAGCAAAAGTGAAGAGAAATATCCACAGTCTCTTCTTGTTGTTTTGAATACTATACAAAAACTGCAGATCAGTAGTACACAACCTTTTCAGAACCCATGTGTCATTCTGACAACTTTCCAGGACCAAGGGGGGCAAACTTGATCTGCATGCATATTAACATAAATTTACATAGGAATTGAATCAGAGATGAATGTGCGCAGTTGTTATTATTGTGTATTTACAATAAACTTCACTGTAAGTGTTGACAGCACTTCACAAAACAGAGAGGAAGACAAAACATTCTTTGAGAGTCAAAGAGTAAATGAAGCACCATTTTCCTGAAAATGGTTCCTCATGTCTTCCCAAAAATTTGCTATGGCCACAGGCATCAAGGAATGCAGCTTTGAGGCTGTCAGATGGCTACTGCATTTGCATGAATGGCAGAATAAATCTGATCTTCCACAGAGAGGAACGTGCTGTGGTCTGTGGTTGGAGGGCCTCTGATTATTGTCAGGGATGGAGATAAGGGTTCTGGAATTTCTGCACACTCTTCCAACATTGTATCTCAACACCTCCTTTTTCACAGATCTACGTGAGTTCCACCTCTCTGAGATCTGTACAGCAAGAGGAAAGGTTTCACTTGCCTTATGTTTCTGCCTACTTGCTGATTAACCTTAAGTTCACCCACAGGAACTGGCATTTATAAGTCAGAGGTGAGTTCTGAGCCTTTGCTGGAAGAGGGGTTGCAACACCGCTGCGGATTCGAGGGCAAGACAAGGAAAATTAGCCATCCACTGGTATGGGAAAGTCAGTAGTGCACAGTAGGGTTACAAGTACAACTCTTTCATGCTATTTCATTCCAGAAGAAAGGACCCCCTCTGAAAAGACCTTTAAATAGATGCGCTTTTGATGTGGAACAGAGGAAAAAAAAATATTCTAAGGCTGATTTTTTTTTTTTTTTCCAAAAATTAATCAGCAATGGGCATTGACATTTAATAAAATGGCCTGTAGCATCCCTGGCCATAGAAGATCCTGGGAAAAACTCCAAACTGCCAACACAATTGCTGGATAAGCCAGCCTAAGGGACCTGGAGGGTACTGCCAGAAGAAATATCCCCTTTAACTTTCAGCCACAGTGATGCTGTGCATTCATTACCAAAGAGGTGGAAGAACAGCACGATGTGCCCTGCATAAATTGTTCAATATACTTGTTTAGATCTTGGAGTTAACTCTTATTTAGACTATTATATTCAATGCCTTTTCTCTTAAGAAAGCACAGAATAATAAGGAAAAGGATGTACATGTCCAGCACAGGTGTCTCAGTACGGTGGTTTTGGGGGTCATGTTGTTCAGGATATGGAGGGAAATGAATGAAACCTTAAAACCATACACGTGTCAGTTGAAATAAATCTGTTTTAGACCCAGGGTTGAATGTGGCAGCTTAGGAAACATCTTGTTTGTAACTAAGTGAATCCCAGCAATGGTTTGAGGGTCAGATGTGGTGTAGTATAAATCAGAGTAAGTCCCTGCAACCTTTATGGGAAAAGTACCACTGTGGGTGTATGGTGTTGTTCAGAAGGTCTTTTAGCAGGTCTGACCTCTCTTAGGACCTTAGGAGTGAGAGTAAAGTGGCCATGAGTCAGGGCTCACAGTCCCAAGCGCTTTGCCATGGCAGCTTAACTCGTCACCCTGCATCAGCTACTGCTCATATGTGAGCTCTTAGCCTGTGGCAGTTTATCCTAATCTTTTTTGACTCTGAGTTATCACTGTGAGCCTCGCTCTGAAGAGGAGAGAGGAACAATGGCCTTTTTAGATACTTCTCCAGTGGGCCCAACCTCAGGCTGCAACTGCACCTACAGGAATAGGAGAGTGATTTGGTAGCACATGTCTCTTCATTGAGTTTTTCTCATTCAAAAGCTTGTCTTTTATACAGTGTGAGTCACTTTGCTATTGGCACTCTGTTGGTAGCACATGTCTCTTCATTGAGTTTTTGCGGGCAGTTTCATTCAAAAGCTTGTCTTTTATACGGTATGAGTCACTTTGCTATTGGCACTCTAAAACAGGAGAATGAAACAATCACTCTGCAAATCTTGGGACAATTACTGGCCATCCTAAAACACGTTCATGCCTTATGTCTGAACAAAAAGTCATAAATAATGTTGTCCCTGTGAATCAGAGTAACCCAACTCAGGGCTTTTGCTTACAAATCATCTCATAAATTATTCAGCCAGTTCCAATTTTGGGTGACTTGCTGAAGAGAATCTGGGTCATAAATTGATATATCCTAAATTGGGCCAGTGACAGGATGGATTATATAAGGGCTTTCACTGCAGAGCCCCAGGTCCTATCCCCTGCTGCAATAAATACTTAATTTTTTTATGGAGTATGAGATAAATCCAAGAGACGGGGAAAGTTTTTGGTTTAAAACATAGTATAGCCTAGTGGTTAGAGGCGTTTCCTGGGAGAGACAGGCTCGGTTCTCTGGTCTAACTCAGGCAGAAGAGGAAGCTGAAATTAATCTCCAGCCTCCCAAGGGATGGATCCAGCTGCCAATAGATGGGAAAGTGGTCCTGTTCCCTCCAGGTGCTTTCTGTGAGGCAGCCACCTAAGAGACAAGTTCTGGGAACACTAAAGTCAGGCAGAGGAATGGTTAGTTTGTGGAAGTGCAGATACAAGCATCAAGCTCCTTAGAGCCAGTGTAATGCATGTCTCCAGCAACTGAAACGTAAGGTAATTCCTTCGTGTAACATTAAGCATCTGTAAACTTAGTTGACCAAACAGGGAGGGGTCTTGAAGATCTAAATTTGAATTCAGGTGCTTAGCATGGCGGCCCATTATTTTAATCTATTTAGAAGTTTAGGATCATGTGCTTTTATGTTTACTATAATCTTTTCAGCTCTTTCCCCAGATTGCTATTTTGAGCTAACCTCAGTACCCACAGAGGGCTCCATGACCCGTCCACCGACTGCTGAGTTTGCTATGAGACTAACTGCAACTCTGAGCCTGGTTTTCCCTCCCATCTGGCAACAGAAATGAGCTGCTGCTGACTGAATGACCACTGATTCTCTTGGAAGCAGAGCTATGCGAACAGCAACAGCCAACTCTGTCACCATTTGTGAGGATTTGTAGCTTGGGCCCTGAGACATCTGGCTGAGATATTTACGCAGTCCCGTATTGCACTCACTGAGGCTCTGCGTTCACATCTGGAGTCTAGACTGAGTGACTCTATGGGCTGGCCTGCAAGCCTCCAAACAGCTCACGTCCCCCCTTGTTCTCTCACTTTGTCTTTTTATTGCTTTATTGGTTTATTTATTTGCTGGAGGTGCTTCTATCTCGTTTCCTCAGATGCTCCTGTCACGGCCATTTGAGAGCTTCGGTGAGGAATGGCGGTGACTGAAAGAGACTAGGTAAAAGCAGAGGGGACGGGTAGGGGAAAAAAAGCTGGGCTGTGGTGAGGCTTCGATCGCGTGGTGATGGGGGATGCCCAGTGCTTGATTACGCTGTTTCTTCTGGATTCTACAGCTCTGATTGTGGGAAATGACAGTGCTCAACTGAACACAGTTTGCATTCAACACATGTAGGGGGGGAAGCAGGGCTTTCTGTAAACGGGCAGAGGTGGCCACATGGTTGAGCCAGGCAGGGAGCTGAGCTGTCCGGGGTTAGAGCCATCAGCGAGCTGCAGGTACAACCTGGGTCATCACAGAGCTGTTCTGCCTCAAACTGGTTGGAGTTGGTCCCCGTTCATTGTCCCGCTGTGAGGATGAGGAGCAGGGGGGTCAAAGCCTAAAAGAGGGCCCAGTGGTTAGTATTTAATCGCCTAAACATAGATATCTGAGGTGATTGAGATGTTGGCACAGGGCTGGTAGATGCATCACAGCCCTTTGGGAGAGATTTTGGGCATCTAAAAGAGACATCTGGGTTTTGGAAACTAATCCCTTCAGTTAGTCATATGCTCTGTCTTTGTTTTTAGTTCTGTATTGTTTTGAACATGGGATGCTAAGAGCTTTAGCCCCGTGCTGGTGCTGTAGTGTTGTGCCAGGTGGACTCCTTGATTTGACACTATCCCTAGTGGTATCAGTGGCTGTTGATGATGATTCAGGGGCAAATCTTCCCAAATACTGCTATCCTTATTCACAGCTTCTCTTCATTTCTTTCCCTTGGGTCTTTAGTCTGTTAGTTCCACTCACTTTTCTGCCTGTCCCATATTCTCCTTGTAACAGTTTTCCTTTGTTTTAGATTTCCTGGTGGCCTAACAGCCCTGTCTGCCACTTCTGAAGAAATACTGCTAGGGAGTCAAGGGCTAAGCATTGCTGACAACAGTGGGGTTTTGACCTGGAAATGTAGTGGAGAAACTGAATGGGCTAATAGTGAAAATCTATGTAGTGCTTGAAAAGATGGGTACTATGGATGTACCTGTTTATGTAGGTAGATCTGTATGTATTTCGATGTAGATAAGCCAGAATCTACATTAAGAGAATGTCACAAACTCCAGAAATTCAGGTACTGAAATACAGTTCAGTTCACTTTTTAAAGAATGATAAAGATAAAAAAAGATTTAAGATATTCTCTGTGCTAAGATATTCTCTGTCTCAAAGTAGCCAGCAACAGCATGATGGCAGTTCTAAGTAAAGGGCCTTAATCAGAGTATATAAAAAGACTGGAATGATGTTTGAACAACACGTCCAGTTCCCAAGCATTGTCTCTTTCCTGCTATCAATGACACCCATTGTGCAATAACAACATTTGCACAGAGATACGTCCTGTTTTGCACATGGAGAATATATTGAAGCAGCCATAGGGCTGCACTAGCCTTGACTGGAAAAGTCCCCAAGGGCCCGTCTGCCAGCTGCTGACTGATGCAGAGCTGCTGCTGCTGATAATAGGGTACATGTGCTGGCTTTGAGCTGAACTAGGCAATCTGGGGCACAGTCAGATGTGCTCAACAAAGATCGAGTTCAAACCTGTTTAAGAAGTTAGTTTCCATCAGCGGTGATTTAAGCTAAGTAGTTTTGCTGTGTATTGGAAAGGACGAGGAATGCTCACACAGTCAGCTACTTCATCTTGGCTGTCACAGCGGTGATTTCAACACAGCCAGGGGAGTCAGAAAGACAACAAACAGCTGAAATCTGTGACATCCTAAATCACGTAGACACAAGCTGGTAAAGGTGTATTTCCATTAGATGTTTGCCGCCTTGTACGTGGCAGAATTGTGCTGTGTGCTTCACTCTCTCTTTCCAAGTAGCTAAAATCAAGAGGTGCCTAGACTTCTTTCAAGATGTAGGCCATTGTTCCACACTGGAAACGGCTGTTCTTGGTTGAACGTTGCTGATCCATTCAGGAGCTCAACTGCAGCTGGCAAAATGTTGGGTGGATGAGGGTAGAAAATGCAGGTTTTTACTGTAGAGATGGACATACCATCATTGGGGAGCAAATGTAAATTGCCCCACTCGACTAAATGCTCTCACAGGAGAGGAAATTAAAAAATGATCACTGCAAGATTCAAGAAACATAAATACACTATTAATTAGGCAAAAGAGCATTGTACATGACATCTGTGTTAATGTCAACCAAGTTTATCATCAGCCGCATTCCTTCTAGGAATATCCCACATGTGGTAGGCCGGATATACTTTTGTGTGAATAGTGTTTCACACCATCCGGTATCACAGAGATTGGCTATATTGTTCTTCAGCTTGGGAGCCAGAGTTGGCCTTGTATCAGAACAGTCATATTGTGAAGTTCCTGAGCATGGCTCCTCTGTGTTTTGCAAAATTATTCAGTTCTTCTTCATCAGAAGACCGTGCGTTGCACAGCAGGAAATGCAACTAAAGATCTTGCTAGTGATTATCACCTCCTGGAAGTATTAATGCCGTATTCATTCTGATGGAGAAACTGAGCTCTGGAGCAGCAGTTCAGCTGTAACTATTCAGATTTTTCCTGAAGAGATGCCCAGAGAGGGCACCTTCAGGAAGATCCACAAAAGCATTTAAGCCCTAGATAGACCCTGGACCTGTAAGTAAAACACAATGTCAAGACTCCTGCTGGTTATGTCAACAGGAGTTTAGATATAGATATATATTTAAAAAAGGGCAAAAAAGAAAGAAAAAAAATCCACAGTAATTAAGTACCTTTCTGGCTTCGATAAACTATGTTTGAAACAAAGATGACTTCTTTCTGGAATAAATTGTTCTGTTTGCTAAGCAATTACTTTATTTTATAGTGAAATGGCAGGTGAAGAAATGCAAGGAAAATGGTTTAAATCTTGTTACCCTGGCAAGGATCCCACTGACCGCAATAGTATTTTACCTTTACATGGATTAAAAGAACAGCAGGATCTGAACAGCTGGTCACTTAGTTGGTTTGCTGGTATTTTTAAACCTATAATAAGGCAGTACTGAATGCAAATATCTTATAATCTGAATACAGAAATCTTATAGCATCACCCAAGGCCTCTTGAAGGCAATGCATACAACATACAAATGCAAGCTGTAATCTGTAATGCCACAAATCCTTTAGGAGGATTATCTCTGTTATCTCATCTGACATCAGAGAATTACATGTAATATAGACACATAAATGGCTTAGTCACAGAAAGATCCTTTAGAAAAAAGGTAACAGAGAGGAAGTTTTGTTTGTTTCTAAGCCGGGGAGAAGAGGGAAAACTCTGCAAAGCGTAAGTGGATCGGAGCTCAAGTCCTGTTTGGGTTCACTGCAGATCTTGCTCACTTGGGAGAATTATCTGAGGGAACTGAGTCCCCACTGTCTTGATTTGCATGTAGTCATTTACAGACAGGCAAAGGGTGGATGCTGTACATGTTTGTGCCTCTGTTTCCCTTTAGCTAGGTTCAGCCAGTCTGCACGAGTGTCAGGGGCTATGGGAAGTGTAAGACAATCAATGATTAAAGCCCATAGCTCCACGTTGTCCAAACAAAAGCCTTAGATTTTAATAACTTGAGGTCAGGATAGGATTGCTTGACTTATGAGGCTCAGTTGCATGGCTAAACAGAAGATTTACTCATTGCACAGCCAGCCTAGATTCATCTTTGATAGTTCTCTCCTGCTGCATTCACTTATTTTTCTTTATAGGACCTTGCTGATCTCTTCAAAGAGGAAACTGATAAAGTATGATGACTGTGCTGCTGACTGTGACTTTCCTTATGCATCCTACCTATCTTGTCTCTTTTTCCATCCAGATGAATGAGATTCTAAGGTAACCCTGTACATTTGCTGTAGTTACCTCATTCCACGCTCCTTTACACCTGTGTATCACCCTGTTTTTCTTCTTAAAATCTCACTCTGGCTCTTTTTTATTAACAATAAGGCAGATTTGGTCTTTCCCTTCTTAAAAATACTTATCTATCAGCATCCCTTCCCTTTCTGGTTACCAATTACCAACTCTTTCCTTCCTTTCATCTCTAATTGCACCTCGAACAGCAATGAATGTGTTGTTTATTGCCTATAAGCCAATGTCAGAGGTGCTGTCTTAGACCCTCTCCAGCCCAGCCTCTACACTTCTCATTCATCTCAAATCACTCTCACCAAGCTGTCTAATGATGGTCGGACAAAAGGAAAAGAAGGGAAAGGACATGTTGGCATACCTTGTAATTTTAAATACCTATTTTGTATTCTCATGTTTTGGGAACTGAATAAAACCCCACTAAAATTAATGAAGTCTTTCCATTGATGTAATGACCCTTAGACCAGGACCAGCAAAATCATGAATTATGTGAGTCAGAGTTCAAGAAGGAATTCCAGTATTTTCATTCATAGATGGCTCATTTCCTGTAGCTTTCATACTGTCCTTTCCACTCCACTGACCTCTGTCTGATCATGTACAATCTCTTTTATATTCCCTCTTACAGGATAAGTAGTTGGATGTGCATAGAAGAATGTTCCATTTTCTGAAAGAATTTCTTGGATTCCCTGAAGAGATTAGTACAAAATTTTAATTAGGGGCATTGGCAGAGTTCCCAAATGCTGGTATATTAGGCTGTGGGTTTCATTTTCATCGCCGTTTTGGTTCCTATACAATGCATATGATTTCTGATGAGTCGTTTAGTTTACGTGATGCACGTTTTGTTCCTCCAGTTTTTGCCCATCCCATTGACACAGATGAGTCATGATTAACAGCAAAGTCTTGTCTTTTCCTTCCAAAGACTGGGGAGACTGCCCAAAATTCTGAGGACAATTGTCCAAAAGATGTCAGGGTTTGAAGTGACCAGTAAAATTTCCACTAAAACTCTGGAAGGCGTACAGGATGCAAGTGTCATTAATTAAGCTCTAAGAACCTACAGTGCTGTGGGAACCTGGCATAAAATACACAAGCTGAACTTTGTTTGCAACTTCCTTCTATTTAGGAATTCATTAAAGGGCTGAAGCATTTGCAGAGATTTCAGGACCCAGTGCTAGAATGGCTAATTGCTGGCTTGGTCTTTTGTATACAGTGTAGCACATAAAAGCACTGTGATCAAAGAATGCAGGTGCTGCTGAGGGCAATGAGAATGCAAGTATGGTGATTGCTTGCCGGATACAATACGTAACGTTTCATTTAGCTGCGCTTTGCTGTGGTCCGTGATAGGATTTTGTAGGAATTGCTGAATGGTTTTGACTGAAGTGATTTAATAAATGCATTGTTTAGGCAGAGCTAAAAGTTTGTACTTCTTTCCCCTTCTTCCTGTTTTTCTCCCTTTTAACACCGAAGGGGAACGTAACCACTACTGCAGATCTAACTTAGATGTAGGCTTTAGTAAGTTTAAGTTGGTTTCACCTTCTTTAGTACACTAGAATTGACTATCACAATTAGTTTTTGCTGGATCCGTGGTATTGTAGTGGAGGAGAGCCAAGTTAAACAATACAGCTTAGCTTACATATCTTCACAGTGAGGGCTAAAGAAACCACGAATAATTTTATGACTATATTTGCCATACCTAGATTTTCTTCAGTTCCTGCTCTAACTGTACTCATCTTGCCAATCTTTTCATATATTGTTCCTATCAAATAGCAACGAGAAGTCTGTGGTGAAGCTTTCTCCTTTTTTAACAACCATCCTATTTGATCACCCCCCAAAAATAGCACAAGCCATATGAAACAAGTGGAGCTGTGGACCCTGTCTTGGAGAGCATGCATGAGTAATTAAATAATATGCCCTTCTGTCACCAATTTTGCAAGGAGGGGGATTAAAATCTGTGTTCACAGGCTGAGAGCAGGTGTTTGTGATGAGATCCCATGCTGTGACATGCATGCAGCACATTCTTACATGAAAAGCCCTGGCTGATGAAATGACCACAGGAAGACAACATGGAACCCTCCCGGCAGGATCAGAAGAAGCTTAATTAAGATCTGTGATTAATTTTAAAGTGAGTATGTACCTATTTTAGAAGAATATTAAGAAAACTGAAAACATGGCTATTTTTTGGTTATGTTCTCGTCTTCTGACATTCCTCAAGCAAACTGTCTTGCTTCTTGCATGGTCAAATGATACAGTGACTCAGAAGTGAACACGTATCTTTACGTAGATGGGATTTAGTAACTTGTCAATGTGGCTTTATTTTGTAGTTGTGGACATTTGTTTCTTTGGCATAAGGCAGCACTAAACCCACAGTTTCTGCAGTTATTCTCAACACAGTTGTTTCAGTTGTAATTATATGACTGAATGCTTACATAGACTACGAATTCCCTGTAATCTTGCTAGAACTTTCATTAGAGAAGGTAACAAAAAATATTGGGCAAGACTCAGAGAGAAGATGAATGTTTGTGCTAGAATGATTAAAAAAGAAAAAAAAAAAACCAGTAGTACTGACGGCAACAGTCCTTTACCTTGTATTACTGTGCTTTTCCACTACAGAACTTAAAATGCTTCCCTGAATTCTGTGAAGCAACTTGAGAAATTCTTTACACGTGTGTGCCTGTTCCAATAGTGGTAAAGCAGGGGTTTGAAAGGTGAAGCCACTTGCTGTAACAATGCAGTGAGTCAGTGGTGAAACTGGGAAGTCAAGACTAAAGTACCCATGTCCATCTTAATGCAGAATATGTGGTGAAAAATTGTAGCCTAGTTATATATGGACTGATGGAGTGACAAAGAAAAGCTTAAGGCTTCATAAGCACCTTGGCTTTTCTCAATAGAATAATTTGTTGCTCTTCATGGTTTTGTTTGGGTTTATGATTTTTTGTTTTTGTTCTTTTAACCTCGATACAGGCTAGGTCCTTCTCAAACATGAAAGAAGACTCTGTCTGAAAAATTCATTAGCCAAATTAGACATAAAATAATGAGGGGATGAGAAGGAGGCAGCAAGGGGTGGGGGTGGGATGGGAAACATGGACAAGGATAGCTAGAGACAGTTCTCTGTGAGGGAAGCTGGTTGAAACAATGGTATAGTACCTTGACTAATGTAGAGCTAATTAAAACTGTATAGGACAAAGCACTTCTAAATATATTATAGGGAACAATCTTTGTATGGGAAATCCATCCCCAGTGAAATTTCATCAACTTCAATGTGTTTTCTTCTGGGATGAATTTGGACTAATAACTTAGTAAGTCTTTTCTGTTTCTCGTTTCTAGGGACCTTTTGTTGGAAACAGAGCAAGGAACTTCAGTCTGGCTTTCAAAAGTGCTGAACACCCAAAGTTCCTACTGCGGTCTCCAGGAGTTACAGGTACTCAATACCACTGCAAATCAAAGCTGAATGAACTGTTCCGTCTTTTCTGTGACTTTGCTTTCTGACCAGTGCCCTCCCATCTGCAAGATGACCATAAGTTAGCTTCCTAAGCTTTTTGAGGCAGAAACTTCTTGTGCATAGGTACACCACCTCACACAACCCAATACAGAGCTTAGCAAAGGCCTCCAGGCACTAATACAATAAAAATAATTAGTAAAACTAACAGTAAATCGTAGGTTCACACTAGCTGTATTTGCAGGGCAATGGAGAATATGAATTTGGGCTAGTTATGTATAGATGGGCCTACTTCTGTTACCCTCTTTCCAACTGACTGTCTGTGGTCTGATTTGTCAGATAAATTATGTCCAATGTGTTCATAGTTTTTGTGAACGTAGAAAAATTGTCTTTCTATGACTCGATAAAAGCCATATTGAGAAATAGTCAAAAATAAATGAATGCATCTTATTATTGCCTTCAGCACACAATGAGTGACTTTTTCCTTCACTCTTCAAGTGCTACAATTTCATGTAATTCTAATAAAATCTTGGTGCACCCATTAAATTTACAGTGGAAGTTACAGTTGGCATCTTTGAGGTGACCAGGACTATCATGTAAAACCATATCAGACTTGTTTTGAAAGGTTCAGGCCAAACACAGAACATGCTCTTTGGAACATTTTTCCTTTTACTGCACTGCTGTTGTAAAGTGTGGTCTGTTTTGGCTTCCACTGCGTGGAAGATGTATATCATATAGATAATGACAGTGGTTTAATAACGTACTTTTTTCTTTCACTTAACTTCTTGTTTTTTTCTGAGAATAACACCAAGCAAACAAATCCCCAACAACAGAAAACTTCATCATTTAAAGACTTGTGCTCTGTTTTTTTTTCTGAGGTCTGTCTCTGAGAGGAGGATTACTAGTTTATCTCTGTTACTTTAAAAAACAGATCTGTTTGATTACTCAATGTTTGGTTTTTAAAAGGGCAGCTCCTGGGGATCTTAAAAAAAATCCATAATGCAACAGGGAAGGAATATAATGGACCGGTTTGGGGAAAAAAATGGTACAATGGGGGAAAAACATAACATACACTACATTTGGTGTGAACTTTTCCCAGAAGATTGCTTGAGCCTCATAGTTCACTTACAACCAGAGTACAGTGATGCCGGGCAGCCTGCCAGTGCTTGTTATTGTAGTACTGCGTGAGCCAGTTCCCTGGTGAAGAAAGAAAAAGAGTGAGAGAGAGAGAGAGAGACTTTTCTTTGCCTTTCATAGGTGTCCCACTCTTTGCTCTCTCTGAACACCCTCCCGTTCTTTGCATTAACGTGCTTTGGTGCACGCTACACTCTGCAGATGTCACGCTCGTAGTTTCGCGTGTGGTGCTGCCTCAGTTCAAGAGGACTGACACAGGGCTGTGTCACCTCACTGCACTGGAGGTTTCAGATGACAGCTCTGCCTGACAGTCTTACAGTGAGGCACCCGGTGATACGCATAGTGAGGATGAGTAACACCTTGTCCTCACAACAGAAGTATCTGGTAAGAAAAGCACTCCTAGGAGTGGGTGCCAGGGTAAGTTGCGTGTCTACACTGAATTTTGCAGTCAGATGTGAGCCAGGATAGCTTGGGTTTAATACCATGGTACCGATGCCAGTGAGGCATCTCTGAGCTGTTCAGAGCACTGGCAGACCTCCTTCACGTCAGCCTACGAAACAGTGCGCAGACATAGATGAGTTACAGGCTCACAGTCTGGCCCTGAATGTATAGCAAAACAGTATGGATGAAGGAGGCCTCCCACGTTCTTGTATCTATATTCTACCTGGAAATCCATCCAAGAACATTTCAAAATCAGCAAACATGGCATGGGGTTGTTTTTATCCATCCCCCCCCCGCCCTCCACATCCACACACCTCCTCTTCATGTTGTTACGTTGCCTTGAACCCTGAAACTACAGCACTCTCTGGGAAGCACACAGCCTCCATCAGAAGCATGCTGGGCTCCCAAATGTGATAAGAAGCTGATAAAAATGATCTGGGCGTTAAAACAGCCTTAGTGGAAGAATGTTTAGCTAAATCGATACCATCTGTCCCTTAAAGTGAGCACGTCCTTGTTCTGCCCTGGCATGACCACTGTGAGCTGTTGCTTTTGTGGTGTAGTCCATGTGTGGACTGGTTGTCGTTCCCAGGACCTGGGGCGACAGTTTATGCAATGTGGACTTTATGAGAAACAGTTTCATTTGCAGGGATTTCTTTTTTTTTTTTTTTGGATTAAATAGTGGTAATGAAAACAACATTTTTGCCTAATACAGAAAAGTACTGGACTGGAGCTCAGCTGTACGCTCATATTAGCCTGTACAGCACATTTCTTTAGGGAAGCCAAAGAGGGAAGGAATCCTGAAGAGCTAAAAGCAGCGTATAAATTACCAAGAGAACTTTCATGTCAATAACAAACAGTGCAAATATTTTCCAAGGGATACGGGCAGTTAGCACACAGCATTGACTATAGCTTTTAAATGCATTTTCTTTACCTCATCATGGACATAGTGGAACAAATCTTAGGTAGACTGACAGTACAGATAGTTCATTGAGCTACTATGCAGATACACGGGAAAGAGGTGACTTGCTTGGAGAGTGACTGAGCAAACTTTGGTGCTCACAGGACTGAAGTGAGAGTGCAGTCTATCTATAGCAAAGTCCTGCAGAGCATGAGGGCTCCAAGAACAGAAGAGCTATAATACTCCCTCAGAGAGGATCAGATAGTGACACCTGTAGTGGGGTAGTCTCACCATCTAGCTAATCTAAGCAAATTCACATATAACGTGTAAGTGAATTTGAATATCTGCCATGGGTGATGTAGACAGGTAAGCCTAGCTGAGGTGTCTGACTGGGATACGTAAAGGTAGATAGGTTGATGCCCCATGATGGATGTCAGAGCCCTGAGGGCACTAATAGGCCTTCATGGACATGACAAACCTAACTTGGGGCCTCCAATCACACCCCTTGTCATGGACACAGGAGCCCCGTTTCAGCTCAGGCCTGGGCCTCCATTTGTGTTTGAGCTGTGTTGTAGGTGGAATGGAATGGAATGGCATGGAATGGAAGAGTTGAGTTGAGTTGGAAGGATCCTACAATTGTGGAGTCCAACTGCCTGACCACTTCAGGGCTGACCAAAAGTTAAGACATGTTTTTAAGGGCATTGTCGAGATACCTCTTCAACACTGACAAGTATGGGGCATTGACCACGTCTTTAGCAAGTCTGTCTCATGGTTTGAGCAGCCTCTTGGTAAATTAATGTTTCCTAACATCTAGTCTGACTCTCCCCTTAATGCAGCTTTATACTGTTCCCACATGTGCTTGCACTGGACCCCGGGGAGAAGAAATCAGCATCTCCCTCTCCACTTTCCCTTCTCAGGAATCTGGAGAGAGAAATGAAGTCTCCCCACCAGCCTCTTTCTCTCCAAACTAGACAAACCCAGTGTCCTCAGCTGCTCCTCAGAGGACATGCTTTCCAGCCCCTTTCAGCATCTTTGGTGCCCTCCTCTGGACACATTCAAGGACCTTCACATCCTTTTGAAATTGTAGGGCTGAATTGATTGGACTGCATTCCTGTATTGTGTCTCCCCCTGTCCTGCCCCCCTCCACCAAGTATGGGAATGCAATTAGTACATCTACAGAAACTTACTTCAGGATGTGCTACTTCAGCATGCATTTGCCTTGTGGGGCCCTCTGCAAAAAGGAAAGCATGGTCTGCAAAAGCACTGCCTACCAGTCCATAACTCAAAGCGTAACTCAAAACATAGGTTTTAGCTTATAAACTCCATGTCATTTGAAATCCTTGCTCCTTAAAGACTGTCTTCTTCCTAAAAGCCTTCTGCACAGGGGGTTCTCCTGGCAACAGAATTTTCTTCTAGCCTCACCCTGCCTGCTGATCCACCAGATCCACATTTGGACACAGGCAAGGGCCTGTTGTCTCTTCCCACTGAGCTTGCATCGAAATTATGGGATTCTTTAACTGAATTAGACGTAAGCTGGCAGCTTTCTGCACTCATTGCACTAGTTTTGCAAACAAATTACAAAGTGCATGCTAGATTGTTTTGCATAGTTTCTTTTATCAATTTAAAAAAACAAACAATTAAGTTCCTTTGTATCTGAATAACGTCATCGGTAATTTCATCACATTGACATTCTCAGGTGATTTCACGTGTGGGTATAAAAAGCAAAATCCTCAGTCCTTCTTTGCAGCTCTCTTCCAGGTGCGTAGGGACTCTTAAAGAGAGGCAGTTGCTTTTTTGTGTCAGATGGCCACCTGGCCAGCCAACTCCTTACCCACATCAGCATGATCACCAACAACCTTCCTCTTCACTAAATACCTGCAGAATTCATTTAAAAACTTGGTGACCTGTCTTCACACTCCTGGAGAGTGAAGCTTATCACCACTGACAGCAATGACATGAACTGCATCACGTTGACCCACCAATGTTTCGCTTCTTGGAGCTTCTGCGGTGTCTGTGCTCATTTGGCCCTTTCTCCAATGAAACTTCCAAAACAGAAGCTCAGTTACTGCCAGCTGTGGTTATTACCTTTCCTAGGAGACAAAAATTCAATTCTAAAGTGACTGGACTGACACCACAAGCTTCATGCTCAAAGTCCACCCACACAGTGTGTCTGTTGGTCTCCCTGCCCAAGGGGGGCTGGATCTGCTGGTCATGACTGTGTGGAGCTGGACTCCAGCAGGCTACTGATGGGTGAAAATCTCCTCAACATATCTCTCAGGCTCTACCCTTCATGCTTTGATGTCATCAAATGGATGAAATTATGAAGTTTATGGTCAGGTCTTTTGAATTTAGATTGTAGAAAACCATCATTAAAGATATGTAGGCTTCCTTCTCCAAAAGATGCAGTCATTGTCCGCATTATGTTCTGGACATCATGGCATCCATGAACCAGAAAAAGCTATTTCATGGTATATTTCTGTGGCCCCCATACTTCATACCAGCTGAAGCT